GTGGGACGCGAACGCCAGGGACATCCACGGCTGCATCGCCCTCCACTACGCGGCCGAGGCGTGGCCGCATCGCTCGGAAGCCACAGTCGGGGGTTGCGAAAGGTGCCCCTGGCCCAAGGTCCCCTCAGCTTTCGCTCCACTTTGCAGCCCCTGAGGCCCCCTGGGCCTCGCAGGGGGTGCTCTGGAGGCCGTGGGGGCCTCCTTGGAGATCCTGGGGGCACCCTGGGCGGGGGCACTTCTAGCAGCGCCCGACACAGGGCGCTCTCCAACGAGCGGCCTCGCCCCTTCGCCCCTGCCCCCGTCGTGCGTCCTCTCGTCGGAGGAGGGCCTGCCAGGACAGCGGCTGCCCTTCCTGGCGCCTTTCGGCCTTCCTTGGGCCTCGTGGAGGGTTCTCGTCGAAGCGGCTGTGTACGTTTCAAGAAGCCTGTCCGGGTGGGCGCCCATAGGGATCTGAGTACCAATTTCGAGCGGTTTTGGACCAGGCGAGAGGGCCGCCGCTGTTTCATGTGGTCTTCTTCAGAGTTCGATGTGTTCCTCGGAGTTTGGCGAATGAGGCTCCTTCCTCCTCCTCCTCCTCCTCCTCCCCCTCCTCCTCCTCCTCCTTTTATCTCCCCACACAATTCCTTATCCTGCTCCCATCGGATGGACTGCGTGCCCCCCCCCCCACGTCCTTCGTCCTTCTCGCTCTCCTCGTTTCTCCCTCACCGCAGCCTGTGTGGCACAGGCCATCTTGAAATCGGCTCTGTCCTCGTCCGCAGAGGGCCAAGGCAGTGTGCCCACTAGGGGCAACGTTAGGGGGGGGTACAGGGTGCAGCTTGAATAAGGAACACTTACTTTCCAAAGGGGGCTCGGTCGTTCCTTTGGTTTGCATGCGTTCCGCTACCTGTTTGGCGGCGAGCCCCCCAGGTGTTCCTTCGGACTTCGTAGACTTACTTGGAAGAAAAGGGCTTCGTTCCTTACTGATCGTTCCTTCGGTCAGGCCGACTGCTGTAGGCTCAGGGGAAGGCGCATCGGCCCCCACTCGCCCCTCCATCGCCGAGGCAGGGGCCCGGCAGCCCCAGCCCCCACCCCCACCCCCCTCCCAGAGGAGCGCGCGCGGACCCGCCCTCGGGGGGCCCCTATAGCTCGCCGCTCCCTGCCGCGGCGACGCACCGCCGAGCGCCCCCCAGCCCTCCGCGCTCCCCCCCCCCTGAGCGAGCACGCCCCCCCCCCCCCGACGTTGCCCCTCGGAGATCCCGCTCCCTCTGGAGCCGCCCCCCCCCCCCCGATTCGGGCCGGGCGAAAGGGGGGGATTGGGAAAGGGGGGGTTACGAAATTCTTTACGCTTCGCGTATCCCCACCAGCCCATCTCACAACAGCAACTCTTGCGAAGCATGCCGACAGTCGTGTTTTTCAGGCGTGTGTCCGCTTGCCCCCGCATATCTCCCCTGTTCCTCCTTCCTCCCGCCTCCTTGTACATCCTCCTTGTGGGGGGAGCGGGAGAAGGACGAGGCGGAGGAGGAGGGAGAGAAAGCGCTCCTCGTGGTTTGAGTCGTTCGGGCTTCTCGTCCTGGTGTGAGTCGTTCGGGCCCTTCTTCCTGGTGTGAGTCGTTCGGGCTCTTCGTGGTGTGAGTCGTTCGGGCTCTTCGTCCTGGTGTGAGTCGTTCGGGCTTCTCGTGGTGTGAGTTGTTCGGGCCCCTCGTCCTGGTGTGAGTCGTTCGGGCCCCTCCTCCTGCCCGTCCAGAAACGACGCCCAGGCGAGTAGAGGGTCGTCCTGATGGGCTTTTCGGCGTCTTGGGTGCCTCGGGGGGGCCTCTTTGGGCCGTTTGGGATCCTCTTGGGGGCCTCCTGGGGGCCTCTTGGGGCCATCTTGGGGCCTCTTGGTGCCTCCTGGGCGCTTCTTGGGGCCATCTTGGAGGAAGTCGATCAAAGAAGAGGGGAGCTTTAATTAGCGCTGCCCCCTCAGAAGGCCAAAATGGGGCCAAAACCTAGTAAAATCAATGATTTTGGCTTGAAAGAAGAGGGGAGCTTTAATTAGCGCTGCCCCCTCAGAAGGCCAAAATGGGGCCAAAACCGTAGTAAAATCAATGATTTTGGCTTCAAAGAAGAGGGGAGCATTTTTTCTCCCCCCCCCCCGTCGGGGCCAGAATCCTCGTGAGGGGTGTCGTTTTTTAGCCCTCCCAGGAGTCGAAAAAGACCCCTCTGACCACCCGCGGAAGGACCTCTCCAGGCCCAGGGGGAGGGGGTAGGGGGAGGGGTAAACCCCTCCCCGAAGGGGAAGAAGGGGGGTTGAGAACAGAGAGAGCTCGCTAAACCACTCACGCCCAAAGGGCTGGTGGGATTTGCTGCATGCAGCTGATTTCGGCCTCACCGAGGGGCCCATTCCTCGATACATGGGCGCCTCCCGGCGCCGGGAGGCGCCGGGAAAATCAGCTACGCGAGCTGATTCTTAACCCCCCCCTTGCTATTGCTATCCCCCCCTTTCGCCCGACCCGACCGATGGCCTCGGCGGCGCCGCCGC